CCACTGAAGGCGATATTCACAACACCGGTACTCTGAACTGCAGATGGTCGGGTCCTTCGCCAGGAAAGTTTGAAACTCCCGTGCAATCAAGTATCCCGATGCAAAAATCAAACGGCTTCGACGATGGAGGCCCGATCGTTTGAAAAGTGAGTCTCTCACCTGAGCGCCGCTCATATTCCTCTTATGTACATGTTTGCAACAGCTTCAATGATGTATGCCAGCTCGTTTCCAAAATGCGGTTCTCGTTTCAGCGCGCGTAACATCCTCGGTCCTCAAGCGTGCAAAGGAGGCCCATTTGTTTGCAAATGTGGCAATCGCTTCAGCGTGGCGCACATTCGCTTTCTCGGAAAAGCTATAAGGGTGGAGGCCGGCTCCTTGTCAAAATGCGGTTATCGCTTCAGTATTGAACACATTCGTCTTCAAATCTTACAGCAGTTACAAAGATGAAAAGCAGTTCTTTCGAAAAGTCGGGTTCTCGATATAGTGACGCTCACATTCTCGTTTGAAATGCCACACACAGCTGCAAGAATGGAGGCCGGCTCATTTTCAGAATGTGATGTATCGCATGACACATCCGCAAAGTTGAAGATGAATATTGAAAATGAGGACAATTAATTTTCGAGTTGGGGATCTCGCCTGAGACATCCTCGAATTCAGCGGCAAGACGCGCAATCTTCTGCAGCAGTGACATGGGGCGAGTTCTTTTCAAAGCTGGGCTACACCTCGTCGAATTGTTTGGTCAGATCGCGTCGCTCCTTCGCCAGAAGAGCGCAAGGCGGGTCCATTATAAAACGGGGTTCTCGCCTGAATGGCAGGCCCATCAGGTGCTTGCCTTTCGACAGGGCGTTCCCTGTAGTGAGAAGAACAGCCTGCAGGGACTTCTGAGGAGGGGACTCTGGCTTGGAATGTGTGCTGCAGCGCTGTTGACGCATCCAGGGTGTATTCTGGCCCTCCTCCTCTCCTGTTTCTCCTTTGCGATCCTCCTCCATCCTTCATCCCCATGTCGCACTACCAGACGTGTTCGTAGGCCGAGCTAGACTTTTCACTTGACACTTCCGTGGTATCTACGATATGGGAGCTACAAAAGCCCAACTGCTACAGAGATGGAGGGCCAGTGATTTACAACATGTGGTTATCGCCATAGCGCCGCGTATATTCGTTTTGCAAGTTTCCAACACCTGCAAGGATGGAAGGCTGTTGGTTTCCAGAATGCGGCTCATCCTTGGCGCAGCATACATTTGTTTTCAAAGTACGCAGCAGCTACACGGAGGTCAGTATGCTTTGAGAATGCGGCTCTCGCATCAGCGCCGCGCACATCCGTGTTTAAAACAAAGTCCGCAGTTACATATGTACACACCTGCATACCCCAAAAAACGTACACTGATGGATATGGGAGATGTGCAATGGGTTGCAGCGCCACGCACGTTCGTTCTGAAGCTTCCAACAGATACAAGGCTGGAGGCTGGCTCGTTTGCAAGATGCGGTTCTCTCTGGAGTTGTTTTCAAGCTCTATGACCCCAAATCTTGAATTTACGCAGCGTTTACACGAACGGAGGGCGGCTCCTTCTTCAAAAGAGGGCTCTCGCCTGCGTCGGCAGCACGCAGTGTGCCCAGAGCTTGGAATCGTGCGACACTCACTCGGATGGAGCGCAGATCCTTCCTGCTCCCCCCCCCCCTCCTCCCCTCCTCGTCCCCTCCCCTGCGCCTCGCCAGCAAGAGGAGCTGCCGACGGAGCTCGCGAAGGGGGACCTCGAGACCGTCGACAGGGAGGAGTTCGAGCGCGACCTGGAGTTCGGGGGGCTCCTCGTGCTCCGGAACTGCGTCAAGCAAGGCACCTCGAAGACGAAAAGTGGGCACAAGCCTGCAGTCGAGACGCTGGGATACCCACCCAGACATGTTCGCGTCGTGGAAAAAAAGGGGAACGAGCGATGACATAGACATAATAACTCGGAGGTCCGCGCGGACTTCTCGGATCGGCGCTGGAGCCCACTTGGCGGCGCCTTCGGCGCCGCCCCTGGCGCGCGGAGCGCGCCAAGGAGGGGGGCCCAGCGCGGATCCAAGAAATCCGCGCGGACCTCCAAGTTTTTATGGTTATGTCATTGCTTGTTTCGTTAAAAAAGCACGACCGGAGGTGCTGGCCGTTTTCGGCTTCTGGGGACCCGTACCGGGCCCCAGGCCCGTCAAAAACTTACTCGGGATGAAAAGACGGTCCCAGGGAAGGAGTCCACATCTCTGGCGAGCCAAGTTGTGAAATTATCCAGCGACGTGCCCAACGCTGTCTACACATATGGCGACAGTAAGCAGGACCACCGAATTCCCAAAAACACAACATGAAGGTATCTGTAGTCCCCATTGAACACTTCGCCAAAGAACGCCTCACACGCCCAATGCCCTTCATTTACACAATAACTCTTGCGATCCAGACCAGACATAAGACACCACTCCGCTGAACCTCCCAGGAGCTCACGAAAGTGGCGACACTGGCGGAGCTCGCGGCCCCGCAGGGAGGGCGGGTTTAGTTTCGATTTGCGTAAAGCACAACCCCGCTGAACCTCCCAAGAGCCCACGCACGTGGCAGCACTTGCGCAGATCGCAGCCCCCAGGGACGGCAACGTTTTGTTTGGGTCTGCGTCGAACACCACTGCGCTGGCCACCCCAGGAGCCCACAAAGTGGCGACGAGTTGCGCAGTTCGCAGCCAGGCAGGGACGGCGAGGTCCAGCCTGAGTGCGCGTAGGGGTGCGCGTAGGACACCACTCGCTGGTCCTCCCAGAAGTCCACAAAAGGGGCGACAGTTGCAAAGATCGCAGCCCCTAGGGACGGCGCGGTCTAGTCTGGGTGCGCGTAGGACACTACTCGCTGGCCTTCCCAGGAGCTCCCGAAAGGGGCGACACTTGTGCAGATCACAACCCCCAGGGACGGCGAGGCCTAGTCTGGGTGTAGGACACCTCTGCGCTGGCCCTCCCAGGAGCTCGCGAAAGTGGCGACACTTCCGCAGCTCGCAGCAGCGCAGGGAGGGCGAGGTTTATTGTGGGTGTGCATACGGCACCACCAATTGTGCTGCCACCCCCAGGAGCTCACGATATTGAAAACAGTTTCGCAGATCGCAGCCCCCAGGGGCGGTGAGGTCTAGTCTGGGTGTGCGTTGGACACCGCTGCGATGGCCCCCCCAGGACCCCACGACAGTTGCGATGGTTGCGCACATCGCAGCCGCCCAGGGAGGGCGAGGTCTAGTCTGGGTGCGCGCAGTACGTAGGACAGTAGCGACGATTGCGCAGATCGCAGCCGCCCAGGGACGTTGAGGTTTACTCTGGGTGCGTGCAGGACACCATTGCGTTGGCCCTCGCAGGCAGGAGCGTACGAAAGTAGCGGCACTTCCGCAGCTCGCAGCAGCGCAGGGAGGGCAGGGTCTAGTGTGGGTGTGCATAGGGCACCACCCATTGTGCTGCCCCCCTCCAGGAGCTCTCGAAATTGAAGCCAGTTTCGCAGATCGCAGCCCCCAGGGTCGGCGAGGTCTGGTCTGGGTGCGCGTAGGACACCACCACGCTGGCCCCCCCAGGAGCCCACGAAAGGTGCGACGGTTGCGCAGAGCGCAGTACCCAGGGACGGCGAGGTCTAGTCCGAGAGCACGTAAGGACGCCAGTGCGCTGGCCCACACAGGAGCCCACGGAGGAGGCGATGGTTGCGCAGAGCGCAGCCCCCCAGGGTCGGCGAGGTCTGGCTTGGGTGTGCGCAGGACACCACCGCGCTGGGCCCCCCAGGAGCCCACGAGAGGGGCGACCGTTGCGCAGAGTGCAGCCCCACAGGGAAAGCGAGGTCGACAGAGGAGGAGGAGGAGGAGGAGGAGGAGGAGGAGGAGGCGGAGGAGGAGAAGGAGGAGGAGGAGGGGGAAAAGAAGGAGGAGGCGAAGGAGGCAGGAGGACGAGGAGGACGAGGAGGAGGAGGAGGAAGGCGAGAAAGAGAGAGGAAGAAGAAGGATCGCGCGAGCAGTCCTCTGCTGAAAACGAGAACCCAACCAACGAAGGGTTGCGAGAAGTCATAATTGGACGTCTGGGAATTAGGAACGCTTGGGCCTCAGGAGGGGGGGCGCGGTCGGGCCGATTCTTAGATCTGGGTCGGGGAGCCTCTTTGTAGCTGAGGCTCGCCGTGGCCTGGGAAGCCCCTTCGCTCCTCATCCGGCGTGGCTGTGCACTCTCGGGCGCCTGCGCGGACGTCTGGGGCCAGCGCTGGACCCCCATGGCGCCGCTGCCGACGGCGCTCCTGGTGCGCTCCGTGCGCCGCGAAGTCCACGCGGACCTCCGAATGCTCAGCCTGTGCTGATCATCATGGTCCTCGCAGTTGCGGATAGAGTGAAGGGGCCGCGAGGTCGTCGGCAGCCTGAGAGGCTCGAAAGAAAGTTTGAAGCAGCCCGAAGCCCGCCGCAGGCGCCGAAATCTTACGCGTTGCACAACGACCCCGCCGCAGGCGCCGAACTTTCATCAAAGCAATGTTGGTTGGTCGTGAGTGGGTCGCGGGCAGGACGACGACAGCAAACAGTCCCCCCACAAAGGACCTCCACGTCAGCCGCGAACCCAGGGGCAGTGCAAGACCGCTCGGCCCCCTTGCTCCGAACGGTCCTCTCCGAGGCACCGCCTCCACGATCCGGCAGCTGCGAAAGAGCTACCACCGGGTGGTGATGATCACGGGCGACAACCCGCTGACAGCCTGCCAGGTCGCGGGCCACGTCTCGATGGCCGACGGCGACTTCTTGATGCTGCAGCCCCGCGACGGCGCGGGCGGCGCGGGGGGCGGACAGCTGGAGCAAGGGCGCACCTGAAGAGCCCTCGCCCGACGTCGCCTGGACGACTCTTGCCTCAAGGGCAACGTCTGGGGGGGGGATACGCTCATGGGCAGCGTTAGGGGGGCAGATGATCAGCGGGGGCGAAGTTTCGAGTTTCGAGGTTCGAGTCTTTCTGGCGTCTTCGGTTCTCGGCGGTTTTCCAGCCTCAGGGTGCCTTCCAGCGGCTGCGCCTCGCCGAGAGCGTTCCAGATCGTCCGAAACGGCCGCCAAAGACCCGCATTATGACCAGGAAACCACCCTTGACGGGGATAAGCTCAGAGGGCGACGCATCGACCCTTAATCGCATATTGATCGCCGATAGGGGCCCGATAGCCCCACACCGTCCAGGACAGTGCGGAGTCGCTATCGGGGGCCTATCGCCGATCTATCGGCGACATGTCGCCGATTCCAGGTCGATGTTTCCTCCCTGAGCCGGCCCCCCTTAATCATTACCCCGAAACAGTGAAACGGCATGAGCATACGGCAGGTTCCCGCCGTGCCGACACGGCGGCGACCCCAGCGCGGGCGGTCAAGGGTGAACGCCGCCAGTGACCCAGAGCGTGCCGATGTGGTAGGATCTGGCGATCGAAAAGCCGCGGATGGTTCGAGGTTAAGCGATCCACGTGGTTTCACAAACCAACGCCTGGGTCGTCACGGCACGAAGCCGCCGTAAATGTTCAGAATGTTTTGCGCAGATTTCTCGGAGCGGCGCTTCTTGCGCCTGTCCCTGGCGCGCTTCGTCCCTCAGGGGGTCCAGTGCCGGCCCAGGACGTTCGCGCGGACCTCCAGAGGTTCATAGCCGTGTCGCGCTCAGTGTTCCTATCTCGTGGGTTGCCAAACTCCTCGGCCAGAGGGTTCGACTCTTCCCGGGGGGGCGGTGCCCCGTGCACGTACCAACCGAAGCTCTGGACCCCGTGGCGGCGCGTGCGCTGACGCCCAGCTCTCCCAAGCCAGGCCCGTGCTCCGAGTGCAGCACTTGCTGTTCCTTCCCCCTATCCAGCCTCCCTCCTCCGCTGCTCAGCAGGGCTGAGCAGATCCAGAGGGCCACTTCATTTTTCTGCAACGACTACGTCGGATAGCCCGTTCCCGTTCCCCATGGCTTGCCTAGTTTCCTCGGGGGGCCGACAGGCGTGCGGCTGTCTCTCTCACCCTCTGCGGATGCCGCCCGGCGTGCAGCTTTAGCCACGCGCATGCGCCTCTGGGAGGTCAAGCGGAGTGGCGCCCTACGCAGATCCATTCTAGGCCTCGCCTCCTTGGTCGCTGCCAAGCACGCAACTGTCGACGGTGTCCTGCGTCCCGTGGGGGACCATCAGAGCGACGTCCTACGCAGACCCACACTGGAACTCGCGTCCCTGGGCGCTACCAAGCGCGCACTTGTCGCCAGATTCCTGCGCACCTGAAGGTCAAGCGAAGCGAAGTCCAATGCGGACCCAAGTTGGACCCCGCCCGTCTAGGCGCTGCCAAGCGTGCAGCTGTCGTCCTCCGCCCCCAGGGGGTCCAGCAGCATGGTTGCCTGGCAGCTCCCAGGTTGTAAAGGCCACTCGAGTTGGTTATGGCGGTGGCGCAGGTGGTTGAGTTGCTCCACCCATACGAGCCATTTCTCCACGTTGTCTTGGGCTCCAGCACAGCGACGTCCTTCGCGGACCAAAAGCTGGATATCGCGCCCCTGGGCGCTGCCAAGCGCACACATGTCGCCAGTTTCCTGTGCCCCTGGAGGGTCCAGAGATGCGAAGTCCTACACGGATCCAAACAGGACCTCTTCCCTCTGGGCGCTGCCAAGCGCGCAACTGCTGTCAGCTTCCTGCGTGCCTGGCGGCTCCAGCGGCACGTTTGCCTGCCAGCTGCCCTGGTGTGCAGTCCACTAGAGTTCGTTGTGGCGGTAGGTGCCTGAGGTGATCCACCCATCTTAACTCTTTTCTCACGCTGTCCTGGGTTCCAGCGGAGCGACATCCGACGCAGACCCAAATTGGGCCTCGCGCCCCTGGGCACTGCCAAGCGCGCGCCTGCCGCCAGTTTCCTGCGCCCCTGGAGGGTCCAGCGGAGTGGCGCCCCTCAGGCCCCAGCCCTTGCGAAACGCCTGGCCCCACGGGGCCCGCCGCGCCAGAGCCGAGCGGCCGCCCAAAGCTCCGCCGGCGGTCACAGCGGGCGGCGGCCGCCACTGGCCTGGCCTCCATGTTCGAGACCTGCCCCGCAGTGGCAGGTCTCGAAAATGGGCGAGAGCGTCAGAAAACCTCACCCTTCGAAAAGGTCTCCCCTAACGCTGCTCCTGACGCCTTCTCCCCCTCCTCCTCCTCCTCCTCCTCCTCCTCCTCCTCCTCCTCCTCCTCCTCTTCCTCCTCCTCCTCCTCCTCCTCCTCCTCCTCCTCCTCCTCCTCCTCCTCCTCCTTCTTCTCCTCTGAGCAACTCCCCAATCACGTGGTTCTCGAACGCTGGTGGGCTGCGTCCCGAGAACAGTCACCGTGCCCCGCGGCCGGCGGGAAGTCCCGCCCCCGCGCGGGCCGAAGGATTGGCCAGGACTGTACCAGGGAGGGGTCTCGGGAACGAGCTGGAGTGGATTCAGGATAGTAGGACAAACGAGCCTGACTTGAGCCCCACGCGTGTTAAAGGCGCACATGAGAACGGCGATGTGTGTTGGAGAACGCGCGGGTACGTTTGTGGAGTATATCTAGATATACGCTTACAG